CCTTTACCAACTTCTTTCACAACCTCTTTGGTACGTAGCTTTCCACTGTCCTGCTACTGTACCTTCTTTGCATACGTACTTGGGCGTTCCGATCAGTCCGTCCTTCGCTAGCCAACACCTGCAGTATTTACGGGGTTTCTATTTTGCCGGAACCTTTTTAAAATGCGTGCAGTGAGCGCTTAAAATTCGGTCATGAAACCCCAATTTTCCTGGCGCAGACACACAAACTTCCTTCACAACGAAACTAAGTATCATGTGCCAGAACTCCAATAGCGCCTTTAGTGATTCTACAATTGACCCCCTTGTCCTTCGAGAGCTGGAACGTTACGACGACCTATCTCCACAGCACAACGACGTCGTCATGCATCAAGCATCTGATATCCAACGAGTCTCCCTTCTTGGAAAGGGGTCATACTGTGATGTCTTTCTGGTTATCTTGCGTTCAACAAAGGAACACCTTGCTATGAAAAAGCTAGATAAGAAGAAAATTGGATCTCAACAGGACTTCCTTGCCGCAGCCCCAGACCTGATCATCGAGGCACATTACCTTTCGAAGCTAGATCACCCGAACGTGATCAAGCTTAGAGGCGTATCTTCCCTCCCTTTCTCCGAATCCTTTACCCAAGATAAGAATGGCTACTTTATGACCATGGATGTCATGGAAGAAACGCTCGAGGACCGACTTCACCGATGGCGAAAAGACCCTTCCTGCTACACGCAGCGGAGAGGAATCTGTAGCCAGCTCATCAAGAAAGCAAAGAAGAAGCTCGATGTACCGAGCATGTACGGTCGCCTCGAGACTGTGGCTCTCGGTATTGTAGATGCCATGGAATACATCCATGGACAGTGTATCACCGTTAATGACCTTAAGCCAGCCAATATCGGTTTCCATGGAGAAACTGGCAACGTATGCCTGTTTGACTTCGGGTTTGCCAGAGATCTCGCGATTTGTCCTCCTGATGAAATCTATGGAACACCTCGATACATGGCCCCTGAAGTCTTGAAGGGAGAAGGCTACTCATTGAAGTCTGATGTCTATTCTTTCGGTGTAATGCTGCATGAGGTGACATCTTTGTGCAAAAGGGAGGGATCAAAGAAAGTATCTGTTGAAAATCATTCCGATTTGATGGTTATATGTGAATCTTTGTCAGAGTTGTCGCTGCACAATATTCCTTGTCGGAGAGTTACAGCGCTAATTGAGATCTGTCTGTCGGATGACCCAGAAAGACGCCCTTCGTTTGAGTGTATAGGGGCAACTTTGAGAGCAATCTTGACACCTGACACAACTACAAAATTGCAAACGAAACTTTCACTCATCTCCGAAACGGACGCATCTGGAACCCTTCCCGATTTGGACACAGAAACTTTTGGATACCGTAACTGGTATTCTTCCCCACTAAAAGATTCATTGCAGACAGAGTCCAACAGCACACTGGACACTCTCCCAGAGTGTAGCATCAACGAGGAGCTATCTACATTGCGAAACGTAGAATGGTAAACAACTTCCAAGGAATATGGACCAGATACAAATGCAATAGAAGCGTACAATATATGCCACATCAGAGCGATTGATGGCAATTACGATGTTGTTGAATTCGTACAAGCCCACTCATCAATCCTTGACTGAAGGATTTCAGATATGTATATTTGCCATGTAACGTGAACAATAGACAACAGAATTTATTCTTTCTCTGAGCAACCACCACTGTTTGGTCCTCTCCCTTTTTTCCACGAAAAAGCATTTGGGACCATCACCAATGCATATGTATCATTTCAAGAATAAGAGTCTTCAGTCGCTTCATATCTTCCTCCGAATCGTGCTTCGACGTTTCTATGCTTCTTTAGCCTTGCTCGGTGTCAATGGAATGCATATGTCTGAGAGGAGAAAAGCAAAAAGGTCCCACACGTAGTTCTACAAGCAATATCTGCTTTATCCTTGTTGGCGAATGACTCGTATTCTCGTTGACATTTGGCTCCATCGAAGGAGGAGGTATTGCATAGCTGTTACGCTTGATGTGCTCACCGAGATTGGACTCGATGAACAATATGGAAGCACTGCAGTAATCAAGCATCGTGTAAGACTATGAAAAATCCATGGCTACATGCAGCATTATACAATTGAAGATACTATGGATTAGTAGTAACTTCTGTCCATTGATAAACCGATGTTCGTGAGGGGTTTCAGCGCGAACAAATGGGTAGAAAGCCATTGTAATTGCTTCGATTGGTTCAAGTAGCTTGATTGTTTCGTGGAACTTGGAGATGCTCCGTAGTGCAGCCCCGCTCTTCGTAACAGGTTTCTTCCCTATCTGTTATTGCAACATAGAAGCCTGGTTGAATGTCTTACTTGAGGGTCTCTACCATTCGGCACTGTTGTTAAACACTTCATTTCCATCAAATTCATCATCCGACAGAGAAGATTCGGGAGAAGTGCAACATGAACAGGTGTCAGAAGCTCCAATCGCGCCAATTTGAGACTTCAGAGCTGAGATGTCACCAAGATGGTGATCTTTTGACTTCACTGCGGATGATAAGATTTCGTTCAGAGTCATACATATCACATCAAAAGTTGGACGCGATTCAGCATCATCCGAAATACAATCTTCAATCAGCAATGCCGTATTGCGACATGGAATGATTTCCGTAGATGGCTTTGGCAGTGTATCACAAGCAGTCAACAGTTCTGCATGACTCGAAATAGACCGTTTTCTTGGTCTCCAGGAATGCTCGAGCGAAGCAATCTCGTGTAGCATGATTCCAAAGGAATACACATCAGTCTTCAATGAGTAGCCTTCCCCTATTAAAACTTCGGGGGCCATGTATCGGGGAGTCCCACAGATTTCTCCGTCACTGCAAAGGGAAAGTTCTCTTGCGAAACCAAAGTCAAGCAGACATACTTTGCCTGTTTCCGCATGGAAACCAACATTGGCGGGCTTCAGATCCCTCAAAACAATATCTTGCTCGTGCATGTACTTCATGGCTTCTGCAATACCGACAGCTGCGGTCTCAATTCGACCATACATGCTTTCCACGTTCAGCTTTTTTCGTTTCCCGCTTAGTCTGTTCTTGAGTCCTTTCTTTTTGTTGTCAAAGGAACTCTTAGCATCGTACCATTTGGGAATTCGGTCTCTTAGTGTGTCTTGCATGACGTCCATGGTGATAAAATAGCCGTCTCCATCCTCGCCAAACGACGCGGAGAAAGGAGTGGAAGAAACACCTCGGATCTTGATGATATTTGGATGGTCGAGCTTTGAGAGATAGTGAGCTTCCATAATGAGGTCTGTAGCCGCTCTATAGAACTGCTCGGTGGACTCGATATTGCCTTCGTCCAAGCGCTTCATTGCGAGCTGCATTTTTGTAGACTGAGCAACGACGAGAGAGACGTTGCAAAAGGCTCCGTTGCCGAGAGGCGATATTATTTTAATATCTGAGGCTGCGTGTCGCACAATCCTGTCTTGTCCTTCGATTAGGTGGTCGTACCGTTCGAGCTCTAGCACAACACTAGCAGTGATGATAGATGAGTCTAAAACCATTTCGGATCGTAGACTTGTGACAGTATCGTACCAGAGATTTGAGATATTATGGGGTTTTTCACTTTCGGATTGATTCATTCGTTTGGTCACTTTCGAAAAATTTGCACTTTGGTCCTGTCATCAAGGTCCTGTGAGATTTGTCTCGCCGAGTTCCTCCGAAAAAAAAATATTTTATTAATGAAGTTGCCCTTTGCGAAAAACTTGAGTCATTGAAGAAAACAACTCCTGACAATCCCTAAAACGTCAATCCATTGCTGTACCATACTGTATGTAGAAGCGAGCCGAATGCAGTCATACCCAACTTTCCACTTCCGGCTCAAAATGAACTCCTCCTACAGGAACACCCGGCAAATGTTCAGACCGAGTATTTTCGGGACACTGATCGCAAAGTTTGACGTGCTCGTGCCCGGAGATATAAAATTATATTTTTAGCTTCGAAAAATCTATGTTATTTCCCTTTAACTATTAATGACATATTATTATGTGATGATTTATCAAATAGGGACTTATGGACACAGATGACCGATTGGTCATTGTGACTTTTTCTGAGTTATAACTCAGATCACAACGGAATCCTGAGTTATAACTCACGGCGTTGAGTTATAACTCAAACGTGTGAGTACGTCTGAGTTATAACTCAAACGTGTGAGTTATAACTCAAACGTGTGAGTTATAACTCAAACGTACTCAGAAAATGTCAGGGGGATGATGTTCTCCAATGGGGGAAGGGCAGCTTCAAGAGAGATGCAACACAGCCTCCAAAGAAAACCACGAATAAGTAACGTGCTCGGCTTCGCCATGAAACTTTTAATCGTCGATTGAAGTGCTTTTTATTATTTTGGACGACAGGTTCAAATATTCGAGAGACAAACATCAAAAATGTGTCCTTGCAGTTGTTGGAACAGTCCAATTCAAAATGAATAACGGTCACCCTCTCTTTGAAATAGGATAATTTACCACATATCTAATACAATTTTATTACTACTTGCTAGTCCTCAGACATCGGCGATTCTTCCACCTGCTTCTTTGTTTCCTCCTCCTTTTCGGCCATTGCTACTTTCATACGTTGTTCATAGAGCAACAAGTTTTCTTTCTTTTTCTCTTTCTTTTCTTCCTTCTTCAATTTAGCCAGCTTCTTCATTCTTTTATCCTCCAGACAGTTGCGGTACTTTTGAAATCTAATTTCTTGTTGAATCCGCTCTCTGAATTTTCGTTTTTTGAATGGGTGGTATTCAACCCTAGTTTCTTGAAACTCCGATGCTGTGAGGCCAACATGATTTTTTTCTGTTTTGCCCTGGTCAAATAAAACTTGAGCTCGCCACGTGCGTTATGGGTGGTTGTTGGGTGCTTGGCCAGGTCATCAGCCAAAATCAAATCTTCCTGTAACGATTTGTCTCTTGCCTTGTTGTGAGCATTGCGCAAGGTCGTCCATGGCGATGTCAGAATTTTTAGTAGAAATAACATGTTGAGTGTAGTTTTTTTTCATTAGCAGAATCAAGCACAGCAACAAACGCAACAGCACGAGCGTCGTTCACCACGGCATCGTTTGGCCCTCCCTTGGCTTGAAGTTCCGTTGCCAGCTGCGTCTCCGTGTTTGCTGACATGTCAACTCCCCGTTCATCCAGCAAATCAACGTATTCTTTCCAACCAAAACCCTTTCTTCTGACCTTGTCGGTGAGGAAGCGGCTGAAAGTCTCTCTCCTTTCACCTCCTGCCTCGCCGTAGAACTCGTTTTTGTCCCAATGATGTTGCGTGACAAGTTCTTTTATAGGGTTTGGATCTGGAAAAGTACTGGACTGTATCTTTTGGTGAAAGTAGTCGTTGGTCCGCCAGCTCGAATTTCCAGCAACGGTTTTGGAAAAGGGGGAAGCTCGGCTCGGTGAGTAAAATCTCACACGTTTGAGTAAAATCTCACACGTTTGAGTAAAAACTCACACGTTTGAGTTATAACTCACACGTTTGAGTTATAACTCACACGTTTGAGTTATAACTCACACGTTTGAGTAAAAACTCACACGTATAACTCAAACGTGTGAGTTTTTACTCAAGGATTCCCTCGCAATGAGTTATAAAACTCCCAACTTCAGGATTCCGTCTATTGATATGATTTGGAATTCGAAGTTTCTTAATGACCCTGCGACCATCAAATGACCCGTTGTTATTTACAGAATTAGGATCAGAAAAGATCGAAAATAAAGTTGTTCTGTGAAAATGATATTGTTTAAAAACTGAAATATATTTAAGGCAGGGATCGCCAATTGAAAGACATCAGAATTCCCACAGTCGACCCCGCGCGGTACGGATTTTCGTCATTTGCCGGGTGTTCCAGGTGAGATCAATTTTTGGCGGGACTATTGAAGTGCTTTCACACTAAGCATTGAAGGTACAATAATTGGGATGAAAAAAACTGAATTCAGGCCAAGAATGATCCTCCTTCCGAATCTCATCTTCCTAATGGCACGATCTACAGCTCTAGCACATCTCTCGTTTTCTCCTCTCTCTGCATCCATTTCGCTTTTGTCTGAACTTTCATTTTGCCGTTGCTGGTTTCGCATTTGCCATCTCGTGTGGCGCCAGATCACTCTGTAAAAATCGTGTTTATGTCGAACGAAAGATGCTGTCTGTTAAAAAAATAAAAAAGTCTCAAAACACGATTACTACAGTACAAATTGAATTACCACAACAAAAGTGGGTGAATTCAATCTCAGTCAATAAACTGGGCATCATTGCCTCGGCGCATCGACAACAACTTTTGACGGTCGAAGGCCGTTCGGACTTTGTCCGTCTGTAACACAATGTAGTCAAAGAGATCGAACAGTGTGCCTGCGGTCTACGTTGGATTACTACAGAGTGGGCGCCAGATATTTGACGTCAGAAACACTTTTTTTAATTTTATCGACGAAATTGTTGAGTGAGTCAGTGTTAAATGCTGCGGTATGTATTATCCGGAGGAATATATGGTTCATGGTGTTCCAGGAATTATTTTAATATACACGTTTTTATTAATTATAAAAATACACGTACGAACTGTATGCAGTCTTTGGAGGACAAACGAATCAATCCGAAAGTGAAGGAGGCAGAAAAACCCCATAATATCTCAAATCTCTGGTACGATACTGTCACAAGTCTACGATCCGAAATGGTTTTAGACTCATCTATCATCACTGCTAGTGTTGTGCTAGAGCTCGAACGGTACGACCACCTAATCGAAGGACAAGACAGGATTGTGCGACACGCAGCCTCAGATATTAAAATAATATCGCCTCTCGGCAACGGAGCCTTTTGCAACGTCTCTCTCGTCGTTGCTCAGTCTACAAAAATGCAGCTCGCAATGAAGCGCTTGGACGAAGGCAATATCGAGTCCACCGAGCAGTTCTATAGAGCGGCTACAGACCTCATTATGGAAGCTCACTATCTCTCAAAGCTCGACCATCCAAATATCATCAAGATCCGAGGTGTTTCTTCCACTCCTTTCTCCGCGTCGTTTGGCGAGGATGGAGACGGCTATTTTATCACCATGGACGTCATGCAAGACACACTAAGAGACCGAATTCCCAAATGGTACGATGCTAAGAGTTCCTTTGACAACAAAAAGAAAGGACTCAAGAACAGACTAAGCGGGAAACGAAAAAAGCTGAACGTGGAAAGCATGTATGGTCGAATTGAGACCGCAGCTGTCGGTATTGCAGAAGCCATGAAGTACATGCACGAGCAAGATATTGTTTTGAGGGATCTGAAGCCCGCCAATGTTGGTTTCCATGCGGAAACAGGCAAAGTATGTCTGCTTGACTTTGGTTTCGCAAGAGAACTTTCCCTTTGCAGTGACGGAGAAATCTGTGGGACTCCCCGATACATGGCCCCCGAAGTTTTAATAGGGGAAGGCTACTCATTGAAGACTGATGTGTATTCCTTTGGAATCATGCTACACGAGATTGCTTCGCTCGAGCATTCCTGGAGACCAAGAAAACGGTCTATTTCGAGTCATGCAGAACTGTTGACTGCTTGTGATACACTGCCAAAGCCATCTACGGAAATCATTCCATGTCGCAATACGGCATTGCTGATTGAAGATTGTATTTCGGATGATGCTGAATCGCGTCCAACTTTTGATGTGATATGTATGACTCTGAACGAAATCTTATCATCCGCAGTGAAGTCAAAAGATCACCATCTTGGTGACATCTCAGCTCTGAAGTCTCAAATTGGCGCGATTGGAGCTTCTGACACCTGTTCATGTTGCACTTCTCCCGAATCTTCTCTGTCGGATGATGAATTTGATGGAAATGAAGTGTTTAACAACAGTGCCGAATGGTAGACGAGACCCTCCTATCGTAGCACTGTCGTACTAGATGTGACTGCAAATGTAGATGAATGAGAAAGTGTGATCTAGTTTATTCTAGTATTAGAAGGGGACGACTTTGAAGGAATCGATCGATTTCAGATCCATGAGCATGTCAGAGCCAAAGTTGAGAGTATTCAGTTTTTATTTCTCAGTGCTCAGTGTTTAGTATATTCAATTGACTGTTGCTATTCTTGGTCTGAGAAGTCAGTCTCTTCTTCATCTAGCAAGTACAACAATAGCGGATACCGGTACTCGTAGGTACTCGTACCTAGAAAACTGTACTGAAACTTTACAAAATACGACCCTATCTAACATTTTTTAAAATATAAAAAAAATTAAAAAGTCGCAAAACACGATTACTACAAATTGAATTACCACGACACAAGTGGGTGAATTCAATCTCAGTCGTCGATAAACTGGGCATCATTGCCTCGGCGCATCGACAACAACTTTTGACGGTCAAAGGCCGTTCGGCCTT